GTTCGCCACCACTGCCCTAGAGGGAGCACTGGCCACAAGCATTATGGCAACATACTCTGAGCCCTTTAGAGATGACAGTCCAGAAAAGGAAACAAAGGTGTCATGGTTGAGCTGGAGGGATGCAACTCGCGTGTCTTACAGACGGGGCCCTGGGAGCACGGGTGCAAAATGAAACATCAGAATTCCAGAATCATAGAGTTGGAAGGGACCACCGAGGTCATCTAGTCCAGCCCCTGCACAATGCAGGACATTCACAAATACCCCCCCACCCCACGCCCTCCAGTGACCCCTATTCCAAGCCCAGAAGATGACAAAAAATTCTCCAGGATCCCCGGGCAAACTGGTGTCAAGGTGGTGAGTGCGTGAAAAAGTAAAAAATTACTGGGCTGAGATACATGCAGAAATGGAAAAAAATGTAAAATGTAAATTTAAGAAGGAACCGGAAATACTACTTTTGGGACTAAAAATGGAGGAGGTAAATGTAGCAAAAAGGACATTGATGTGGTACATGATTGCAACGGCTAGAATGACCTATGCTCAATGCTGGAAACAAGATAAAGTACCGGATGTTGGAGACTGGATGAAGAAATCGCTTTTTATGGTGGAAATGGACAAACTGACGAGGAAGTTAAATAATTTGGAAGCAGAGGACTTCTTTGCAGACTGGAAGGATCTTAAAGACTATATAGAAAAGAATTGGGATGTAAGAGACGGTTTCTTTAGCTTTGATAACTATTGAAGTTGATAGATATTAAAAATTAGATTAAAATGTATTACTTAAATAGAAGGGAATATGTTACCTGTGGACATAAGGAATGACAAGGAATGGAAAAAGAATTAGCAACATCAGACAGGGGGTTTGAGGTCGGGGGGAAGCCGAACCGGGGGGGGGGGGATCCAGGAGGAGGGGAGGATGGTATACGTTTTAACGTTATGAATAATATTTGATTATGTTTATCATATCCTAATAAAGTGTTTGTTTTTTTTAAGGTGGTGAGTGCTGCTACTGAAAAAAATTGAAAAATACAATTTGGCAATGTATGAGGTAATTTAACAGACAAATTTTATGGTGTAAATGGAAGCCCTCCCCCCTTTTAGTTGTATGTCTGTTTGTCAGTCTATTTTGTGTTTGTCTTGTATGGAAAATAAAAAAATTGTGGTGTATTTTTTAATAAAGCTGCTTCTGAGAAAACTAGTGGGAGCTCCGTCAGACGTTGCCGCGCTGGCTGCTTGCTTGGACTTCCTTCCCTTCGCCACTGCTTCCTGCTCTACCACCTCTCTCACCCCAAGCAGAATTTCTGTGTCCTAAAGTCCACGCTCGGCAATATCTACATCAGGGTTCCCAAACTTTACAGGCCCGCAGGCGCCTCTGAAATTGTCACGTGGCGTGATGGGCGCGACCACAAAACGGTTGCCACAAAATGGCTGCCGCAGGAGGCGGCGCCACCTAGAAGACGAGTGGCACTTTATCCCAAAGCAACAGTTAAAAAGAAAATCTGCACTGCCAATCAAAACTCCAACGGCCAATCAGAAGCCTCGCTGGGCAGAAGCCTCGTGTGGCCCCGCCTACTTTGTAAACGCACTTTGGGGGCCCCCAGGAAAGGGGTTGGTGGGCGCTATGGGCCTCTGAGGACCTCTGATCGAGATACAGGGACTGAGAACTGCAAACAGGCACGGGTCTTTGCAGGCACGCACGCGGAACAGGGCCACCCCCTCCCCCCGAACCCCAGAAACCCAAGTTACTCACTCGGAGGAAGGCATCGAAACGCGCTGGATCGCCACAGAGCTGGGACAGGTAGTAAACAAAGCAGTAACCTTTCTCGTACGTAAAGAGGTTCATCAGGTTGCTGGGGTTCACACCTGTGAAAAGAGCATTTTGGTAAGAAGAAAAAGAAGAGAAGAGATTGGATCGATACCCTACCCTTCCCTACCCAAAGGAGTCTCAGAGGGCTTACAAACTCCTTTCCCTTCCCCCTCCCCACAACAGACACCCTGTGAGGTAGGTGGGGCTGAGAGAGCTCTGAGAGAACTGTCCTTCGAGATCGGCTCTGAGAACTTGTGACTGACCTAAGGTCACACCAGCAGCTGCATGTGGAGGACTCAGTTGGTATAGTGCCCCCAAAGATGAAGAAGAAGAGATTGGATTTGTACCCTACCCTTCCCTACCAAAAGGAGTCTCAGAGGAAGAGGAGGAGGAGGAAGAAGAAGAAGAAGAGAAGGAAGGAGAAGAAGATTTATACCCCACCCTTCACTACCTGAAGGAATCTCAGAGCGGCTGCCAATCTCCTTTCCCTTCCCCTCCCCACAACAGACAGCCTGAGAGGGAGGTGGGGCTGAGAGAGCTCTTTCGAGGACTGCCCTTGAGAGAACAGCTCTGAGAGAACTTGTGATGGGCCCAAGGTCGCACCGGCAGCTGCCATGTGGAGAAGTGGGGAATCAAGGCCGGCTCTCCCGGATTAGAGTCTGCGCTCCTAACCACGACACCAAACTGGCTGGAGGCAAAAGGTTTCTATGGGACACCTTTCCCCTCCCTCTTGGATGACGAGGGCCAGCTACGTGGCACCATGAATAACCACAGCACTTCCGTTGCAAGCGACGTCCGGCCGGCCAGTCCCAAGCAAAAGCCGCAGGTTGTTCATCCCGGCGTACCTGGTTCCAGCTTCACCTGAAGCTTGCTAACGGGGTTGTCCTCGCCAAGGAGCTTCATCTGTCTGTGGAGGGCGTCGAGGCGGAAGGCAGTTTCCAGGCATGTGAAGGCAGGACCTGATTTAAAAAAAAAACACATATTTTTAAATTTGTTGTCAAAGGCTTTCACGGGCTGAGTTCATTAGCTGTTGTCAGTTTCCCGGGCTGTGTGGCCGTGGTCTTGGCATCATAGGATCTGACGTTTCGGCCAGTAGCTGTGTGGGCATCCTCAGAGGTATCACACAGAAAGATGGAGTACTCTCGCTGTGTCGAGAACTTGTGACTGACCCAAGGTCACACCAGCAGCTGCAGGTGGAGGAGTGGGGGGATCAAGCCTGATTCTCCCAGATTAGCGTCCGCCGCTTTTAAATCACTATATCAAACTGGCTCTCCAAACTCCAGCCCTTGACACAGAGAGTTCTCCTTCTTTCTGTGTGATATCTCTGAGGATGCGAGCCAAGCTGCTGGCGAAGCGTCAGGTCCTACAATGCCAAGACCACAGCCACACAAACCCGGAAAATCTGCAACAGCTAATATTTTTATTTATTTATTTATTTCAACAGCTTTCTTCCACGCCCTCCCCCGCTTACACAGGGCTCAGGGCGGTTGAGAACAGAATAATTAAATGCATTATAAAACCAATTGGAACCATAAAAATTCAATATTAAAAACATTCAAACCTAAATATTTGAAAACATTTCAAGTTTGGGACCTCTTTATAATGGATAAAATCACAGACCACGTAAGACAAGCCGATTCTAGATCAGTTCACCTCGGTTCACATCCAAAATGGCTCCCTTTTCTAGAACACATATTTTCTAATGACCCCCAACCTCACAACCAAATATATCTTCAATCACTTTTTATGTGCGTTGACTTCCTCAATTTGCATACTCTCTATAACCTCACAACACACATTTGGTTTACTGCTCCTTCCAGGGGTCATTTCCTGCAGGAGCGCACAGGAGCGGAGCTCCAGCAGTAAGGAGCCCAGGGGGCGGGCACATGCAACAAGCCCCGCCACCTGCTCCCAGCAGCCCTCAGTCAGAGCAAGAAGCAGCCAGGTAAGTTGCAGGGGGCCCCCCACCCGGCCCGCCTTCAGGTACAAGCTCTCGTGGTGGGGCACATCTCCACGCTCCCCCCCCCCCCTCTAGCTAGGAAATGACCCCTGCCTACCAAGCAGTGTTCCCTCTAAGCTGAGATAGTGTGTGCCAGCTCACAGTTTTTTAGCTTCTGGGCTCAACATATTGTTGCCTCAGCTCAGGAAGAATGGCTCCAGAGCAATCTTTTTTTAAAAAAAATATTTTT